GCCCCTATCTCCACTGCTAATCCCGTACAGTGACTTCAAACCCACTATCAAAAGCTATACTCGGGGCCTGATGCAAAAAGGTGGGACACTCAAGTAGGAAGAAAGAAACTCCATGAATTGAAGCCAACAATCGGTTATACCTACTTGGGTTGTCAGTCAAGACGCGATGAGGTAATTTTACGACGATGTCGTATTGGCCACAGTCGATTTACACATGACTATCTGCTGAAAACGGATGGGGATGGACCCCCATGTGGGTCTTTGCGATGAGGTGTTCACCGTCAAGCATATTCTGCTTGAATGCGTGGACTTATCGTCTGCTAGGGACTCACATTATGATGCAACAAACCTAAAAGATCTGTTCTCACGCGTGAGCGCCCATCTGATACTGAACTACCTGAGGGAAGTTGATCTGTATCATAAATTGTAACTGTGAAATGTAATCAATAAATGTCTTTGAAATAAAACTCATTCCGAGTATGTACTTACAATATTTACTAATGCAAACTTGTTCTCGTCACTATATGGCTGGAATAATGCCGATGGGACGTAAAGCTCAACTCAACTCAACTCTTTCAGGTTCACCCTTCAATGTATAATTATGAAGAAAAATAGAGATAAGATAATGAACGAGCAAAATCCGGATCCTGCCATTATATTCGAATATAATATTATGTTATGTTTTGAAATGTTCTCTTTGATTTACGTGAAGCCGGTGCCAGGTGCGCGCGTTGTCCACATTAAGATATATGATGAATCCAATTTTCTTATCTAATTTCCTAGCTACATTTAAAGATTATACCTGAAGTCTGTTAGTAGGCCTGAAATCTGTTAGTAATGATTCAACAATGGTCAAAATATATCTCCACAATCAAGAGAATATGGAAATTTAAGAACCAATTTACATAATGGAGAGGACCATCCATTTAGCTATTACTTCCTCTCCCATGTACGATTTCATATTTTTTTCATAATTTGTAATACTTCCAAAACGTTTCCGGTTACAACATGGCTTTTTGTATTGGAATAGTTTGGCTAATCGTGAACAAAACATCACGAAAATTGTTTGTCCGTATCCACAGCAAGTTCTCGCCAAGTGACAGGAGTTACAATGACCCCGTGCTAAGTACATGGGAGTTATGCCCCCTTAATTTTAACATGTGCTCATGTGTGCCACAGTAATTCCCGCGGTAACGTCTGGAGACAAGGCTTGGGAAGTCCACGAAGAAAGACATCATAAGACAATGGTAATAACATTTAATCAAATTAAACCTGCGGATCAGGAAATAAGGCAGTATTTGCCAGAATTATCCACTTTAACTCGATATGAACTTGCTATTTGCCAATATAGCATTATTTTTGTTGGTTGCCAAGCAATTTTGGAATCATTGGTACTTTTTTTTGAAAGCCCCGAGGCTTAGAAATGCACTGACCTTACTTGGCAAGCAGATGGTCGGAGAGATCTGACTTCCCTAGAATATATTCGGTACATCTTGTCGGTTGTCTGATCGGTCGTGATCTGTCAGTTGTCACCTGTCAGATTTGGCGGGTAAGTTGATCACGTGCCTCGATCACATCCGAGCTTACGATCAACATCGGCTGGCCAATTCTATGTTACATAATGTACAAGGGCGGTAGCACCGATCACTACAGTAACACCGTTGTTGATGCTACTGCAAAAGCAGCTCTCAACTATTCTGACACCACTGCCAATTTCTTACAGTGATTACATACCTGTGGTTGGGTCCATTATCTGAGATCAAATCCCAAACAAGTGGAACATCCAAGTGGTATACATAAATCGTAAATTATAAACACAGTGTAATTGTACAAACAAGTATGTATGGATTTTTCTTCAAAGGGAGTAGAAGTACTCTAAACTAATATTTGACACTGAGAGGAATTGTAATTTCCACATCATTCATATTATGGTGTTTTTTTCTATTTGGTTTTGATAGCAGCATATTTATTTGTTTTAATGCTAGGATTATTGACTTAAAATTTGGTTTTGATAGCAGCATATATATTTGTTTTAATGCTAGGATTATTGACTTAAAATCACCAGTAGGCAGATCCATGGTGTATCGCCCACCACAGTGTCCTAATGATCCCTAGAATATTGGCCTAACTGTGGGTGATCTACAGCCCGTTTATGAATTTGGTTTGTTATAATTGCTTTCTTGATTGTTCAACGCAACACTCGCAATATTACAGGTACATGGCGGTTATCTGTAAATTATCGAGCCTAGACCAGACAACCCAGTGATCAACAGCAAGTCTGACCATCACACTTACACACCAGTGTATGAATTAATTTTGTAAAAGTCACCGGCTTGGCCACATCATATTTCACTAGCCCTGCAAAATATCAACATCAAAAAGCACGTCGGCCAGAATTGGTGTGATGTTTAGTAATTGAAAATGTTAAAAAATACATTTGTATCGTAATGGTTCCTAACCTCTTTTGCGAAACACTATTAACATTGTATATATAGCGATTTGTATATAACATACTGTTACTGTTATGAAGTATTTCTTTTCAATAAGCATGCATGCACGCACGCACATACAGACATACATACATACATATATACATATATATCTCTCTCTCTCTCTCTTTCTCTGTTATGTGTCAGTGTTATTCATTGTGATACTCTGTTCAATGTGTTATACTAGGTATAGTAGTGTGTTCTGAGTTCTAGAGGCGTCCACTGTGTTCTGGTCCACAGAATATCATAGTGGGGTCTGGAATGTACAAGGTGCTGATTCCACCTCTGTTCTGTCTCATCACACAATACATCTCAAACCACAACAAGACCAACATTTTGTGTGATCACTACTATATACCTAGGGTACTCTGCCTAGACCTAATATTACCATCATTGTCTTTAATGAAGAATACAACTGTATGGATGACATTGCTTATTGCATAGAGCGACGTTGGCCAGGGGAAGTTTAACATTGTGGATGAGGTGCATGATGGGTACTGCAGGCTGACCATACATGGATCGTAATGCGATACAGGGCAGCCTGACAGTCAGTAGTACATAGACAATGAATTCTTAATGGCTGCACTATCATGTAATTGCATACTTAGCTGCCGAATAAAGCGTTGTGGACCCAAAACAAAACCCTATACCCAGCCCGATATACTTTGCATTGATCTTAGAATAAAATTGGGAATGTTCTTACATTTGTGTAGCTATTATTAGGGTCGCCTGTGAATCTGACACACATGACGGGCGAGTTAAACATGTAATAGGCAGCATTTTGGCTTTACGTTCTGTCCCTTATGTACAAGGTGGTAGGTTAAGTGTGATTTAATTGATGTTGGAGAAATTGCTTTCTACATTCATTGTCGCCAATCCAGTCAAATTTATTATTTCCAGGTATTCGTCTGTTCATTTATGCTGAAATTATTAGCAGACTTTAAATTATTAGTTTGAAAAGAAATTTACTGTCGTCAATAGTAATGTCACGAATCCCCGTTGCATCACAAGCTTTGCACGATACGATTTTGATGTTGCACCGATTTCTACATCTGGCCCTTCTTAAAGCCATAAAATATATATATACCTTTCAATGGCTGAAGACGAGCGTTATTGCGAAAGAGGTTACTTAGGGTGCACATTCCCAGCATTGCCTATGAGGGAGGATCTTGTGGACACATCAATTTACCACAATTTAAGCAATTTGTAGTACTTGAAGGGAGGCAAAATACTATCAAATATCTCCATATCAAATTGGAGACGCCAAAACTGTGGGTAAATGAATAAATTGATGTTGATACTGCTCTAGTAATCTCTACCAAAGTATTTGGAGACTGTGAGCTATGGAATGAGCTTGCCATCTAGCTTGTGACTGCTTGTTAGGTGCAAAATGTCGGAAATGCAGCATCACGATTCGTATCTCATCGTGACCTCTGTATCGAGATACGTCAGAGTTTGGCAATCTATATCCTTTTGTTATATTGTATCGTCTTGTATACTTAAAATGTTTTAAATCTAACTACTAGTTTTTATATTTACATCTGTGATAAACGAGTTGTTTCACTGTACTTTGTTGACAGGTTTATAATTTACCTATAAGTATTATAAATATATAGCTTGATATAGTCACAATATGGCTAAAATACTCAAAATTTTAACTCTCTCGAGATACGTATCGTATCGTGATTCACCTGTGTCGTGACATCCCCGATCCTCAATCAAAATATCATCGCTTGGTAACGTGATGCGCGAAATTATCCCTGCATGAGATGATCTTTACCTGGAGCTTCCACATCATGTAATGCGAGGGGATATAGTCGACGCCTCATCTGTCCGGCCGTCCGTATTCATTATGTTTCCGGAGCATAACTCAAAAATGACCGTTTAATATCTTTCAACAAAAGCTTGGTAGCTATATCGAACAGAACGTAAACTGTCGCCTATTGCAATTTACATTTTTTTTTGTCATTTTTATTCTCTTTGTTTCCATGGAAACATTTTGGACTTAGTCTCAAAAGAGAGGGGTGGGCTTCGTTTGACGAGCACAACTCGAAAACCATTCAATATGTTTTCAACAAAACTTGGCCGATATTTCAAACAGAACATAAAGTGATGCCTTTTCCTATTTACAGATTTTTTGGCATATATATTTTTTCTTTGTTTCCATGATTTGGACTTAGTCTCAAATGGGAGAGACGGGTTTCGTTTCCGGAGATCAACTCGAAACCCGTTAAATATCTTTCTACAAGAATTGGCAGATTTATCAAACTGATCTTGAAGTGGGGCCTTTGCTATTTAAGGATTTTGGTACTTATATTTTTATGATGTCCATGGAAAAAAATCGTCTCATGACTCTTGTTTAATGGGCGTTTCTTTCAGAAATTAGTGATGATGCAGTAGGCATTTATCCTTTTAGATATATGAGAGAATGGGTAAGCCACCCATATGTTTTATATTACATTATTTATTCTGTTTCTCATCTTGCATCTATATATACTTCATATGTTTCAGTGGATGTATTCCAAGACGTGACCAAGCAGTTGCTAAGTTCAGTAAGTACGCCGCTTATGATGGCCACATCTTGTCCATGGGGATTCATGTTAGCTACCTGTATGGTGCAAAACAAGAAACAGACAATAAAAAGAAAAGACAGAAGCGAGAACACAAAGCTAATGAACTGTTAAATAAAGTATCAGCTTTACGCAACTCAAACTCTGGGTCAATATTGATTCATCTCGTCGGTTTAGAAAAAGGAGATCAGTTTACGGGTGCATTTGATGAGTTTGCCGACACCAAACTTAATGCATTGATTCAAGATGGAAAATTCTTCCCTGACGTTTATAGGAAGCAAAGGCTAAGTGATCATGAAGAATGTTGTGACTTCCATGATTTTCTAGTTTTGTTCGTTTCTGCAGCTTCAACTGTGACAACTTCCGACTTTAAAACCAAGGTAGCTCTTGATGACTGCCTCTTGGACCCTGCTGCCGAAGCACTCCGGACATTTCTAAGGGAAAAGAAACAGTACAGTGGTACATTCCATTCACTTCCTGGAATTGACTCGACATCGGTCTTAGCAGAAATAAGAGAAAGTAGGTCAGTCCAATTGAAAAGTCACTTTTCACAGAAAGTCAAAGAAGATGAGATAGTTGATCAGATTTCCCTCAAACTTCGTCTCCCGGAATATATAAGTGCGTTTGCCAAACTTGAAAAAGGTGGTTCTTATTTGTATGGCATACACGAGAAGAATGTGATCTATGGTAATTGTGGCTATGACTCTAAGGTACCAGCTCTACAGCCCCTAATAATCACTGAAGGAACCAAATTCAAGGATCGACTAGCACAAAGGATAAAAGAGAATACCCTTGTTTGTGACTATGACGGAAGGGAATCAGACGATGCTGAGGTAGCAGAGGTACGGTTTATCCCTACGAGACAGAACGTGGAGGAGACAATCAAGAGGCCTAACGGTGAGCGAGAAACTGTTACAGAGGCGGTTGTTGTTCACGTAGCCGTGAGGCCAGTGACAGGGATAGTGTTCTATGATAAACAGGGACCACTGGCATACAGGTATGACGAAACTACCAACTCGGTCACGAGAATGAATATCACTGAATGGTTCCACTCGTTTACTAGACGAAGAGCCTCGGACACAAACTAGCACAGGACAAAAACAGATAAAGGTAAGGACAAAAGGTAATATATATCTCAGCTACGTTTTATTTAACACACCCAACAAATTATGGTGTGAAAACTATATTACTCACTGAAAGAAATGAAGTATTTTTCTAACAAAGCTAATCTCTAGATAAACCTAGAAGTAAGTTTGCACTAGGCAGTTATTTAAATAAAGTCTTGAGGTGACGTAATATTGTTTTCTGACTGTTAGGCGTCTTGTCACACCTTGTCGATTTAGCCAAATTATGCCGACGAATGGCAATTTTGCGAATATACTGGCGTATGCTGAATAAGTAGTACGGCGAGGTCGTCGGAAAATTTTGTGCATGCCAACGTATGGCCCATACGTCTTGCCTACGCAGGCCATAAGCTGTAGGTAAGTTATGCGATCGTTGGCACACATTCATACATGTACTCTTTATGTTACTCATAAGTCGAAATACATTGAAATAATGTCTAGCGTATGCAAAACCTATTTCTAACCTATGAGTAACGTGCTTTGAACGAATGTGTAACTTTTATCGTTTTATCTCCAACGCATATTGAAGCATGTAGACATGTTTGACGTGTTCCACGGAACTTACTGAACATGTTACTAACTTACAGCTACCGTATGATGGCGTAATGGCAGTGTTCTTCGAAATGTGAGGTTGATACGGTGACGTCGATACTGCGACAGTGATGCTGATACTGCAATGTCTATTGCGGTTATGATTTGAATCATCAAGCAGCAGCCTTTTCATTGGCTACGACGTGTTATCCTCGGCAATACGCTTCCGCACTCTGTGCATAAGATAAACAATCGTTGAGCACAAGTTGTGAACGCCGGCAACACACTAACATAATACCATAACATAATGCAGATACAAACATACAGCATCATCAAGACATTATGCATTTACAATCTGGAAAGTGCATCAGCACAGACATTGTCTTTGCCTTTAAAACGCCTGATCACAAGATTGTCATAACTCTTTGATTCTTGTTCTTGTTTTGTGAAGAAAAGTCAAGGGATTGTGATCAGTAAAACTTCAAAAGGAGAAGTTGTTGTACCTAGGTATACTTCAAAACGCTGCAAATCTAGCCAAAGACCTAATGTCTCTTTCTCAATGGTAGAAAAAATGATTTGATGCTTGTCAAACTTCTTGGAAAAATAACAAAGTGGATGATCAATTCCTGAATCTTCCTCTTGAATCAGGACACCACCTTCACCTACATCACTTTCATCAGTCTGTAACTTAAATGCTTTTTCAAACTTTGGTGCCTGCAATACGTTGGTAAGGCTTTGACATTTTCAAATGCAGTCTGACAACTGCTTTCCCACCGGAATTTTACCTTTTTTCACAAAAGGTTGGTAAGTGGTGATACCACATCTGAGACATTTTGACAAAACGTTCTATAATAGCCTGCCATACCCAAGAATCGCATGAGGTACTGGAAAGTGTACAATTGCTTCAACTATAGCATGAACTGGCTGAACCTGGTCATGCCCCACAGCATGCCAAAAAACCCAAATTAACACTTTGCAAGATTCACGCACAATTTACCTTCATACAGTCTTTGGGAGAAAGCACGGATTCTCTTCAGATGGTCTTCCCACTCCATGTCGTAAGTGATGACATTCATCCAAGTACGCTTCGACACTATCAAGGCCAGATGTGACATTGTTGACGACTCTCTGGAACGTCCCAGGTGCGTACGTCAGACCGAATTGCATCTCTTTGTATTGATACAGACCATCTGGTCAAGTGAAGGCGGATATTTTCTTCGCACGGTCTGTGAGAGGAACCTGCCAGAAGCCCTTAAATAAGTCAAACTTACTTATGTATGTAACTTGACCAATGCAATCGTCTACACTCGGAATTGGACAAAAATCAGTTTGTGAGAGTGCATTGACAGCTTTCCTGTCAGTACAACAGCGCCAACTACCTCCACCACTCTTCAGCACATGAACACACTGTGAACTCCATGGACTGTCATTAGGTTCAATAATGTCATTGTCTTACATGTATTTCAATTCTTCCACAGAATTTTACGTTTAACAGGATTCATTCGATACAGATGTTGCTTTACAGGCATCGATATCATGGCTAACAACATCAGTTCAGCTAGGCACATCAGGGAATAAGTGAGAGAACTCATGAATCAAATCTGACATTTGAGCTTTCTGCTTTAGGAATAAATGTGATGATTTATCATCAAGGTGAGCTATCACATCAGAATTCCTTAACTTCCGTGAAGTCATACTTCACATTGCTGACCCAATCATCAATATTATCAACACATTCACCATTGTCTTAGCACAATCGATAACTTGGGAGAGTGTGGAAATACAATTGACCTGTTTGGTTTCTACCCTGTCATGGTATTTCTTAATCATGTTTACATACCACAATATTTTTTGCTTATGACGGCCAGGAGATGAGGCGACCTAGTCTGTCACTATCCTTTTTGTCAACAAGATATTGACCCTGGTATCTAGCTCTCAGTCGTTGACCAGCAATTGGAGTAAGACTAACACTTTCTCTGCAGGAATGAGATTCCTTTATGACTCTTTGTCATACTTTTGTTTCATGTTTGCTTGTGAAGCTTTCAGGGTTTCTTTGGCCAACTCACAAGCTTTTGAAAATTGTTCCGAATCTAGAGTGAGTGAGTGAATTTAGTTTTACACCGCACTCAGCAATATTCCAGCTACATAGCGGCGGTCTGTAAATAATCGAGTCTGGACCAGACAATCCAGTGATTAACAGCATGAGCATCGATCTGCGCAATTGCGAACTGATGACATGTGTCAGCCAAGACAGCGAGCCTGACCAACCAATCCCGTTAGTCGTGACGATAAGCATGGGTTACTGGAGATCAGTATTCTAACCGGACCTTCACGGGTCCCAAAATGTAGAAACATCGTCCAAACGGTTGATCTCAGGATGGTGATTGTAAACGTTTTAGTGGCCTCCACACACTAAGACCAAATGCAAGCTCAAAGGGACTAAACCCTAAACGTTCCTGAACTGACTCCCCTGACAGCAAAGAGCAACAAATGCACATTCTCATCCCAAACCTTCTGTCTCAAAAAATAAATCTTGATCATATTCTTCAAAGTTTGATGAAACTTCTCTAAAGCTCCATGTGACTCTGGTTGATTAGTACTAGCCTTCACCTGCTCAATACCCAATAACATAACATAACATGTTGAAACACCTTTGATATACAATTTTGAGCCTGATCACACTCAACAAGACAAAAGCCTGGACAATCACAGCATTGACAATCCTACGAAGAGGAATTGCTCCAGGAATGAGTGAGTTAAAATTTATCGTCACATCGGCAATAATTCAGCCATATTATGACGAGAGCAATTGTTTTTATACATAATAATTAATGTTAAATTGTAAAAACCTGTCAACGAAGCACAGTAAAATAACTAGATTATCACAGATTCGAATTTAAAACTAGCAAGTAAATCTAAAACAGTTTAACTATAGATGACAATACAAGGTAAAACAGGGTATATTGCAAACAACTGAAGGTAGATTACCATATTAGGGACCATGGGGACTTAGAGTACATTTGCTTCCTGCATGGACCCTAGCTGGATTTACACCATCCGTTCAGCCGTTAGCGGTTTAGACACATTTAGCCATATATTAAAAACACACATATTCTACGATTAAAAAAGGTTGATTTAATTTAAATTGACTTTGAATGTTTTGGGACTTACGCACCCTCTCAGGAGGAAAATCATTTTACAATACTTCAACCCCCTTTGAGGGTACAGGCACTAGCAATCTCATATACTAATCTAAACTACCAATAATAAAATATTTATCTATTTACAAATCATTTATTCTAATTCTTGTAAAAATGCAATAATTAAATGAGAACTTATATTATTAAAAAGATCCTTAATTGTTCGTGATTTGAAATAATTATCCCTTGTGATGGAATATTCAAAGCAGTCAACCAAGACAGGCTTGAATGTGATTCTTTCATCACAAGGGATACCAAACAGAAGATCTTCGCCTTTCAATAAATATTCGTGAGTATATCTAGTATGGCCAATGCGACATCGTTGCACAATGACTTCTTCAAATCTGGACTGACAACCAAAGTAGGTTGTAACCGATAGTTAGTTTTATTGCATGTAATTTATTGATACCTACCTGGGTGTCCCACTTCTTCTGTATCAGATCACGGATGTAAGTTCTGATGCTAGCTTTGTAATCAGAGTATGGGATAAGAAGTGGTGTCACAGATTTGTTGAGTGCTGCCTTAGCAGCAAAATCGGCCATTGTGTTCCCAAAAATACCAACATGGCAGGGTAACCAACAAAAGACGATGTCGCACTGGCCAGTAGCAAGATCATTATATAATTCAATTATTTCGATTAAAAGTGGATGTTTACAAGAAAGATTTTTTATAGCCTGAAGGCAAGACAGAGAGTCTGAAAATATGATGTATTGTGTATATTTAGGGTGTCTATTAATATATTTAAGAGCCGTTAGTATTGCGTTTGCTTCTTCTGTGAATATTGAACTGTCATCTGGTAACCTAGAGGAGATTGTTCTGGACAGTGGCACAAGCAACTGCGCCACTATCCTTGGACCCATCTGTAAACAAGGATTTGTATGTTTTATATTTATGTTTCAATTGATTAAATTCTTGTTTATATTGTACTTCATTAGTTTCTGATTTTTTAAATGTGGTTAATGTTAGGTCAACTTGTGGTTTAACGAACTGCCAAGTAGGAGAAGAAAGAAGACGAGAAGGAGCTATATTTTGCAGCTCAATGCCGGCAGCAGAAAGGAATGGTTTAATTCTTCGATCAAGAGGTGGAACAAAAGAAGGCTTCCTGTTGTATAGATCCTCATAAAGAGGATAAAAAAACACTATTAAATTCAGGATTTGACTCGTTACAATATAGTTTGGTTACATACTGCAAAGATAATTTTATACGGCGTTGGTTAAGAGGTGGCTTATCGGCCTCAACATAGATACTGTCAACAGGAGAAGTTCGA